AGAAGAAGAAGAAGAAGGTTCCAGGAGTGTTGGAAGCCCGACCGAGGGAAGGAAGGAGAGCGAAGGAGCGAGAAATATATGGAGGAGGAGAGGGGTCGGACGGATGAAAGAGAGCCGGAGAGAGATAAACCGAGATTTCTATTTATGTATTCCACCTCGTTCATGACTCCGGCCCGTCTTTCGCGCTCTCCTTTCATCTCGTTACGTTTTTGCGGCCGGTTAGCCTGCCGATCCTCCTCCCCGCCCGCAACCCTCCGCGAGAACCTTTTCAACCGAGAATCGTGGAAACGGAATCGATCCGCCGACGACTTCTCTTTTCTTCTCTTCTCTTCCCTTTTCTTTTTTAATCGATCGACCCGTCAAATCGATTCGTCGCGAGAAGAGAGGATGCGGGTTTGGACGCGTTGGGTCCAGAGATCCGCGTCGTTTCTCTTCGCATTTAAAGCGCTCTTTTAATCAACTTTAAGAGATATTTTAGAGTCGAAGAGAGATAAGTTACTTACTTATAGTTAGAGAAAGAATCCGATGACGTACTCGTCGATACGTCGGAAATGAAGAGCACTTCCGGCGGAAAGGAAGGAAAAAAGCGTATTTACACATTTACATACTCCGTGGTAAAATTAGGCGGTAACTCAACAGCCTTGAGAATGGATTTTACGATCGATCGTAAGTGAATGCAATCCTCGTTAAATGAGTACGACGAGATTGATAAAAATGTAACTTTCCTTTAACGTTTCCTGTAACGTAACGCGGCTCAAGCTGGACTTACAATAATCGCTGTATCGCTTCCCCTACTTTGTAAAGTATCAAACGTTGCACGTATCAACCGCGTGCTACGAAATCCTTCGCCCGACACTTTTTCCCATCATATTTTCCCCGTTGATCGCGTAACGAGCGAGATCCAATTCACCCACCGCTCCATAAATCTTTCTCAACGCAATAACGCTCGTCCAATCATCGTTCAACCCACGTTCTACACGTTGCCTCGAGACAAAACCCGTCGTGGAACCACCGAAAAGTGGATGAACCAAAGAATTGCCTCGCTCTACTTTTTTTCTTTTTTTTCTTTCACCGTCCAAGAAGAACGTATATGGAACACGCTATGCAGATATGCATATACTTTCGTTAACTTGGAAAATTCACGGTTGAAGCGGGTAATTCGGGACGAAATCAGGAGAGGTCCCTTCGAGGCAGCGCATCTTCAAATTATTACACGGAGATCTATTTCTGCGACCGTCGGTGCACCTTTCGTCGGTTTTATTAATATTCCATACGGGGGATTTAAATCGTCCTGTCCCGCGTTATCAAATATCCATCCCGTCTCGCGATTAATACGAATTACACGTCCACGTACGTTTTCCAAGTGCAAGCTTATTTCCACTGCCCGCCGTCAGAGATAATTATTGCGCGGCGCTCGCTAGTTGGGCTTTTAATTTCGACTCGACTCGTCCCTCCCCCTCCCCCTCATAGTTTCGCAGGATCACAATTGGAAACGAGAACGGTGGGTGAGCCGGTGTTTAATTACCCGGAAGCGGAAACTGATAGTTTCAAAAGCGTTTTAAAGTCAATTAGTACGTATGATATTTCCCAAAAGGAAACGGGGAGTGTTGTACCCATTCCGGATTAATTTTACGAATAATCTTCAATCGACAATTTCTCGAGCTGCGATCACATATGTGCACCGCGCCGGATTAATTCGCCTCCTCCGTTTCTTCTCCCCCTTCTTTTTTCTTTTCTTCTCTTTTCTTCGTAACCCGTGCTCGTGGCCCGAGGAATGTAAGCAGATATCGCGAGGAAAAAAGGGGGTAAGGAGAAGAGGAGGAGGAGGAGGAGGAGAGAAATTTGCGAGGAAAAATAATCCTGCTCGCGAATAAAAATGGCGCGTACCCTGGGATTTTACCCGCGCTCTCCACGCTTTTTCTCCCTTATCTCTCCTCCTTCGATCATTCGAGAGCGGGAAAAAGGGGGGCGGAGAGATTTACGAACGATATATCCCGAGAATTTACGCCAAGTAACGACGAGCGTTTGTTGTAACGCGATTCCACGTTGCGGGTGTTCGATTATTCGACACCGAAGATCGGAAGAACGTTGGATTATTTCTCGCGTTTCAGAGAGGAATCGAAA